AATCAAAATCAAGAATCTATTCGTAGATCATTCTAGAATGCGATTTCCTAATTTGGTATATTCCCAGACTGAAATATATTTATAATAAAATTTTATTATTGCATATATAAAATATAAGTAATACAATATGTAATACATACAAGTGGCGTCAATTCCACATTCGTTAATTATATTGCCTAATTCTAACAATTTGCTAAACATTCCAGTATCAAAACCAAGGGCCCGAGCAGGTTTGTCTTCTTGTAATATTATATTAAAACACTTTTTATATAACCAAATAATAGATGATTGAAATGCATTTTCATGTCATTTATAACGATTTTCACCCAACTGAGTCCACCAAAAATGTATTTGTTTTTAGTAGATAGATGTGCTGATTCTACTCTAATAAGACGAGAATATATTTCTCTTGGCAAAAGATCGATATTATTTTTGATGTATTCTTTAATATTTTCAGGAACAGACACTTTTTTAGGTAGTTTATGTAACTTATGATTCATCGTTATTTCAACCAGCTGTGCATTTTCATTAATCACCACTTTAAGTATACCATTACAACTAAATCGATCCATAGACAGTCTATCTCTTTGCTTCGCAACATCTAAATTCTTTTTTGGCTTTTTTGCCAAAATATCCCTTTGTGAGCAATAGTATGTATACGATGTTGTGTCTTTTCCATTATGACAATGGTGATAGCTATTAAAATAGATTATATTATAAACTTATCTTTAATTATATATCTATAAATTAAAATAAAAAACTTACATCCAATGATATTGATCCGTTTCTTCAATTTGTTCAACTATTTCATTTGAAATTTCTTTTAGTAAATCATTACAAATTTCAACCTCTACTTCATAGTTAAAATTTATTTCAAACGGATCATTAAAATTCTCTAAATTCGCATTATTAATTAGAATTTTAAGATTTTCAAGCAATAGTTCCATGTTTATAATTTGTAAAGTTTCATTTGTATCTAAAACTTTATTTTCTTGATTTTTCATCGTATCATACTTTCTTTTTCGATATTTAGTACATTTTTCACAACTGTTGCATGTACTATATGTACGATTTAATATAGAAATGCCTCTTGCATCACAAAGCCTGAATTCATTATGAGATTTAAAGGTTTTGCAACCAGAACAATAAGTAAGTGTTGAAGGAGATTCCATTGCAATTAAAAGTATGAA